GTTTTTTTTTCCTCACTTTTTTCAGTCCCGTTCTGGTGAAATAGAAACAGAGAAACTAAAAGGTGAAAAACGTCTGGGCTCGGTTTCTGCTACTGTTTGCGCCGCTGCTCTCATACCCACACACACACCTTTGGATCTGCACAGTGGCACAGATAACTTTCTGTTCTGGGCCTTTAAGCTCTTTAATCTTTTAAAGAATTTGTGAACTTCATCTGTCCCTTCGCTCGCAGCTGATCCTCAACATTCTGGCCTGCCAGTAAACACCACAGACCCCCTCTTCTAATCCTCTGCTCGTCTCTCCAGAAAACACCTAAAAAATAACAGAGATATAAAAATGGAAATTAATCTAAATGTTGTTTGTAGATAAAAAGGAGTACATTTGTTTTAATAAGTCAAACTCCTATATTAGTCATTTTAAAACGAATCTTACTTATGAAAAAAAGGTTTCTCAATAAGAATCTTAAAAAGTTGTTTTTATCACTTACATTTGCACTGAAATGTTCAGCATTCTTTGCAGTATATCTACATAATAATTGGCAGGTGCTCCTTCTTCTCTATTTAACATGGATCTACAAATTAAACCAGGCATTTCTAGGTTTGGGCCGTTTTGCCCTGCTGCTCAGTCCTGATTAAATATTTAATCTGCATCATTCTTGCAGCAGCCATCTTTTTCTTCCTCTTTATTTTTTTCCTTCCACTAAATTTTCCATTAGAATGGCAGGAAGCAGCAGTCCGTGAGGAGCCAGTTCCTTCAGTAAAGGTTTAATGTGTCGCCAGTCATACTGATGAACATAGCGTCACATTTCTGTAATAAAGTTATTTCTTTATTGATCTTATGTCATATTGCAGCTAAAACAGAAAGTGACTTTCGGTTTTCTTTTGTTGCAAGATAATCACTTAAATTAATGAAAAAAACAGTTAAGATATAGCATCTATTTCCTAAAGATGTTGACGGTTTAAAGTGTTATATTCAAGTGTATAAAGGAGTTTGGTGAAAGGATTTTTTTTGTTGTTGTTGTTTAAAAGAAACAAGGATAACTCCTTTTTATAAATATCATATCAGAATTAATGTGATGATAAATGTTTATTCAATTAGTCTAATGACTAACTTTGTGACTGGAATGAAATACTTTTTCATTCGCCTTCAAACCAAATATGAATATTTTTTAAAGCGTTTTCATAACAGGAGGTTTTTTATTGCAAATGCATTTAAAGATGTTTGAATGTCAGTGAAAAGTTAAATATTTTCAATTGTTTATTTTATGACAACTAGGAAGTTTGAAAGGAAAATTAGGGTTTTTCATAATAATATATTTGCCATGTGTTTTCTGCCAAGATCACAGAGAAGAAAGCTGACAGACGCCTAAAACGAGGCAAATAAGGCAGGAAAGGTATTTGCTAAATTAGCTGGAAACTCACAGTGGTGATAAATTATATTAATGAAAAGTTGGGAGGAAAAAGTAGCCAAGCAAAAACAAGAAAAAGAATCATCCTTATTACAAAATAAATTACAATTGAATTGATATTTACCTTTATGCTTGTATACAAACACCTATATTTTCAAAATTACATTAGAAATTTGGTTCCTCTGCATTCTTAATTTATCAGTCCACCTGAAATATGTATTGGCCATTTTATATTTCTTTTAACTCTGCATTTTCTTATTTTCTTTCACCTAAATTTGATGATAATCTTATGACTTTAGTGCATTTTTCTTCAGCTTTCTGTTTTGTTTTACCACAATTTAAAAATAAAAGTGTGTGTGGGATAAGATTATGGACACCTGCTTCCAATCAGATATTTTATTGATTTGCTTTATTAATTTTAATCTGATGTGAAAATCTGAAATACCAAACCGTGAAGTTTTGATTTCTTAGGTCCCCTCCACAACTTTTCCATGCAGACTCCCTCTGGGACCTTGTAACCGGAGGGGTGACGAGGTCATCTTGTTCTGAGGTTTCGTGACTCGCTTTGCCCTACTGCGACCTTAGCGTGTTGCTTGACTGCAGAGTGAAACCTGAGTGGCAGATTGCATGACTCCAAAGCTCCAAGATCCTTGCATTTACAGAAGCTATAGCGCGCAAATATGTGTACCTCCGTGCAGGAGGGGAGGGGGTGCAGAAAAAAAAATAGACTCGAGCTTTTCTCTCTTTGTTCTGCGAGTTTAAAACCTTTGTGTCTTTTTCAGAGGCTACAACCTTCGCGTGACTTAACCAAGCAGATTTAGGATTGTCCAGAAGACCGAGACCCTCCCCTCTGGACGGCAGCTCCGCTTCTCACGCAACCTGCTGCAGCGAGGCGCAGCGCCGAGGCGCGCGGGAATGGAGACCCTGCAGAGGCAACACATACAGCCCTCCCCCCCCAGGGGACCGGGGCAGACCCCATAATGGCTCCTCATTATGCGAGCATTTCAACTTTTGCCTGTCTTTATTTTTTATTTTTGAAAGAAAGCAGTACATTTCTTTAATAGCTGTGTGTGTGTCCGTGGATCTCAGTGCCAAAAGGGTTTATGCGTAAATCAGGGATTTAAGAAAACAAAAAAGGTATAAATATTTTATATAAAAACATAAAGAATCAAAATGGAGATTTCTATACGTTCAACGAATCAGTAAAATGTGAAAGTTGGCAAAACATTTTGAAAGTCTACTAAAAAAAATCAAATTAAAACAATTACTTGTAGCGCAATATTCTTTTAAATAATAACTTTTGAAAGTAACGTCTTCTTTTTTTTTCTTTTTTTACAATTCTATATAATAAATTAACTGATTTTAGAATTCAGCTTTCGTAGCTTGATATGCACAAGGGATGAAATAAAACATTTAGAGCAAAAATATCCACATTTTGAAGCAGTCCCTTGGCTAAATCTGTTAAACGGCAACCAAGTTCAAATCTTTTATTTTATAAATATTTGCATGCATGGCTGTGATTGAATCCATATATTTCAGCACAAGAAAAAAAAATTCAAGTTACATTTAATCTGAAGAATAAATGAATTTTGAGGATCCATATTTAACTTTTCTAAAGGTAATTATTGTCAGTAATTCAATTTAGATATTCAGACTCATATGTAGGTTTGTATATTTCATCTTATGATTGAGGCTTACAGCTGATGATGTCCAAGATGTAGTTTTTTTTTATGCATCAGTACAGGTTGGTGGAGGCAGTGTGATGAGCTTCTCATTCAGAAAATAAGGTTGCTTCAATAGAAGCTATACGAATATCTGCATGTCTGGGTCTCATGTTGCTCATCTTTACTTTCTTGTTAAAATTTAGGGCAGAAGAGATTATTGGCCAATCCAACAGATTAACTGCAGTCATTAAAGTAGGTATTGCTGAATTTGGTACTGTGGTTGGGTGCCAGAGAAATTAAACCATGTATCCCCAAAGGGGGAAAGAGAAATTCTCTAACAGTTCCCATCAGTCAGCTGCACTGATATTGGAGTTGGATCAACATCAATGGCTCCTCAAACTGTCACTGACTGGGAAAACATTGCACCGCAAGTAACTTAGTTTTTATGTCGCTTTCTCCTCCCCTGATTTCTGTGACCTTTATTTCTACACTATTTTGCAAAATTTGATCCCTTAAAAAAAGGTATAAAATATATAAAAACAAATAACCTGGAATCATTTCATTGGAAAAGTTCAGAAATTTTCCCCTTGAATGATAATTTCTCTGGTTTTATTCTTCCTGCAGATTTTCTTTCTTGCCCAGTTTTTCCTTCCACTAAACTTTCTGAAATCCTACTTTGGTAAAGAACAGTTTGAATATTCACCCTTTTTAAACAGTAATCTTTTATTTTATTTTATTTTTTACTTATCAGTCAGCGACTTAGAGGCATAAACATATCCATAATATCACATTTCTCAGAAGTCTGTTCTTATTGGTATTCAATTAAATTGACATATTTGTATAACAAATTCTTATATATTATATGTATATTTTTTTATTTCTAAACAACTTTCTATTCACATTTATTGAGATACACAGGCAGAATGTCAAGAATAAAAATATGCCATCACAGTTGCAATGTTCTTGCCCAGAAGTGGTCCGATAGATTAGAGAGAAAAAAGTGCACTTTTACATGAAGAAGAATCAGATTCTAGAATAAATGAGAACAAAAGTGTTGCTAAGAATCAGCTTGGTTGTCATAAAGTATGCATGTTCCAACCACTGACCTATTGTCCCTTTTTACCCAAGTTGTAACGGTGCGTTATAAGCAGCTCATTGTGCAGTGCGTAATCTAAATGTAATGAACTTATCCGCCCTGGCGCTCCGGTGCCGCCTGCTCCCCCTCCTCTCTGCCCAGCATCCTCCTCTAAGGGGAGGAGAAGGTTTGATCACTGCACTCTCACGCAACTGGTCAATCTTTAACTCCCGTGGAGTTGCATACTGGAACAAGCACGCAATGGCATAGGTTTTATCAGCACTGTCTAACTGTGGCTGGAAAAGGCTGGAATGACAAGAATTCCTGCCTTCACTTCAAACCTGGTGAGGAAATGTGGTAGAAAGTTGGAAAGTTGAAAGCATGTGGTCTAAATTGGTCTCCTTTATTATCAGTGCAACAAAAAAGGCTTCTTTCTTTAAGATATCTGGTTAACCAGACTGATACATGCGTCAGAAAAAAGTCTAACTGCTCACATCAAGACATGTGTGAAAGTGAACCAAAAAAAAAAACACAAAAAAACAATAAAAACAGCAAATGCATAAAAGATACAAAGCAGCCACTGCAAACTTTAAATACCCTGCAGAACAAGTGCATGATGATAAAGTTTGAACGCTCTTATCGCAGATCAGACACTGATTTGCAGCCCGCCTTTCACAGCTGTGTCTCGTGCGCACCCAGACTTGGAGAACGCGGCAGACACACTGTAACGCACGCGAAGTGTGTAATGTAAGGACCACACAGAGATACACCCATCAACCTTTTTTTTTTATCCTCCAAACTTCATTCACGTTTGAGCATTAAAGGGGAGCGGCGCAAAGTCGGAGGAGGGGGGATGATGTCACGCACAGCAGCCAATCAAATGGTGCAGCGCTCTATAAATTATACGTCCATGCCCCGTTGAAGACACCAGCAACATTTAGGACACCTTGAAGAAACTGTTTTGGTGCTGTTGGAAACACATCTGTGGGATTAGATCGTTCTCTCAATAAAAGGTAAGGTTGTTTTCTGCACACTGTAAGTTATTTCTAAGTATTGAGAAGATTCTGGAAAGCATAACTTTAGTATAAATTAGTTATATGCACATGCTTTGTGTAATTCTTGAGCTTAAATTTTATGAATTATGACTTAGACATCTAAGTGCCATAATGCATTATTTAAAATGATGCAAAGATCACCACTCTGCAGAAAATCTAGAGCCAAACACATGCCACCGTTTTCCATTAACTGTGTCATTTTGTTGCGCAACACGTCTTTCTTCTCTCTGTCAACGCTAATCTAATCCCCCCTCCTATTTAATTTACAGGTTGAACAGAAGAGTTGTCATCATGGCATTAATGATCCTACCATTCATTGGAGCACTCTCGATCTCCGAGGGTTTGATAGCCTTGGCAACGGTGTGTCTGGTCTACCTGACCCTGAAGCATTTCCGAAAACAGATCCCAGAGGGGCTTCAACAACTCCCCGGCCCAAGTTCACTTCCTGTCATCGGGAACCTGCTAGACATGGGCAGCAAGCCTTATCTAAGTCTTACTGAAATGAGCAAACGCTTTGGAGATGTGTTCCAGATTCAGATCGGCATGCGTCCAGTTGTTGTTCTGAGTGGTTATGAAACGGTTAAACAGGCTCTCACCAAACAGGGAGACGACTTCGCCGGCAGACCAGACCTATACAGCTTCCGCTTCATCAATGATGGCAAAAGTCTGGCCTTCAGCACTGACAAAGCCGGCGTTTGGCGGGCTCGCAGAAAGCTTGCCTACAGTGCACTGCGCTCTTTTTCCTCCCTGGAGGGAAAGCTCCCAGAGTACTCCTGTGTTCTGGAGGAACACATCTGCAAAGAGACCGACTATCTGATCAAGGAACTCCAAAAGGTCATGAAAACTGAAGGCAAATTTGACCCTTTCCGGTACATAGTTGTTTCTGTTGCCAACGTGATCTGTGGCATGTGCTTCGGCCGCCGCTATGACCACCATAACCAGGAACTGCTGAGTCTGGTAAACCTGGCCGAAGATTTTGTGTCGGTGACAGGCAGTGGCAACCCAGCTGACTTCATCCCTGCTCTGCAGTACCTGCCCAGCAAATCAATGAAGAAGTTTTTCAGCCTCAACGACCGCTTCAACAACTTTGTTCAAAAGATCGTCACTGAGCACTATGCCACCTTTGACAAGGTATTCCACACACTATATATTTTAACAAATTATTTAGCTTTTTTTTTATTTGAAGAGTTTTTTTTTATGAAATTGTCAATTCATTAACTTCCAGGACAACATCCGTGACATCACCGACTCCTTAATAGATCACTGCGAGGATCGGAAGCTTGATGAGAACTCCAACATCCAGATGTCAGATGAGAAAGTTGTTGGCATCGTCAATGACCTCTTTGGAGCTGGTAGGTTTCAAAACATCCAGATTATTTGGATCATATGTCCTCTTTATATAACACAGGCGTCCTCAAAACTCTTTTTGTCCATTTTGTTCCACTAGGTTTTGACACCATCTCTACTGCTCTGTCATGGGCTGTGATGTACCTTGTGGCGTATCCAGAGGTTGAGGAGAAGCTTTTTGAAGAAATAAGTAAGTTTGAGTCTTTTTTTTCTCTTTTTTTTATCTTGCATAACAATATATATATATTGAGCATTACTTCAATTAGTTTTTATGCTTTTTTTTTTGCTCCACCCTGATATTTAACCCACTTCTCTAATTTTTAGAGGAGAAAATCGGTCTGGATCGTACACCTACTCTCTCTGATAAAAACAACTTGCCTTTCCTGGAGTCTTTCATCCTGGAGCTGTTCCGTCATTCTTCATACCTGCCTTTCACAATCCCACACTGGTAAGTCTTTTTTTTTCTTCTAAATATCACCTGCAATCATTATCTGGCAATTAAATGCAGAGTATTTCAAAGTTTAACATAGGGAAAGGCTTTATGATGGACTGACACTTTATTTGTTTGTTGTTTTAGCTCTACAAAAGATACATCTCTGAACGGCTACTTCATCCCCAAAGATACTTGTGTCTTTATAAACCAGTGGCAGATTAACCACGACCCGTAAGTTTCTTTTGTATATTTTAGTCTTCAGTTTTGAACTCTAACATTTTAGACAGATTTTGATACCTGCAAAGAGAGAAACATGCTGAAATAATAACTCAGAAATCAATATAGATATATTGAATTAATAAACTGTTGCTTCTCAGAGAGCTGTGGAAAGACCCATCTTCGTTCATCCCGGAACGCTTCCTCAACGCTGACGGCACAGAGGTCAACAAGCTAGATGGAGAGAAAGTGTTGATTTTTGGCTTAGGAAGGAGGCGATGCATCGGCGAAGTTATCGCGCGAAATGAAGTCTTCCTCTTCCTGGCGATCATCATCCAGAAGCTGCACTTTTACAGGTTACCTGGAGAGCCCCTGGACATGACCCCAGAGTACGGCCTCACAATGAAACACAAACGCTGCTTCCTGGGAGTTACTATGAGAGCTAATGATGAGCAGTGAAGCTATTCGTTATTAAGAAATGAAGACTCTGAAGGTGGCTTTAGTTGACTGTGATACTATAGATTAAGAGTTACACTAAGTGTGAGTGAAAAATGTATTTTTCTAAGAATGTAGGACACTGGGTGACCTCTATCTATAGAGTTAACAGCATAGAAGCAAGTAAAAGAACTGGGTTTGATGCAGATTGTAAGAGCTGTCTACATTTGGGTCTATCTCTCTGTAGTTTGAAGCTCTTCATTACTGTACGTTGTCTCCGCTTCTAAATGAAGAAAAAGAAGATGCATATTTCTTTGCCATATTGTCCTGTAATCCTAGAGTTTCCCACGTAGAAGTGATTAAGCAGACAATAAGAGTTTTTCATCTTTTTGGATGAATGATCAGTTTTATATGCATTACTATGAAGGGCACTGCAATTTACATACTGTCAGAGAAGTACCTGAAGCAAACAGATACCACAGTATGATATCATTTATATTTTTAAGCTAATTACTGTCATTTCATTATACTGTAAAAGACAATCCCAAAGCTATATTTGTATCCCTAAATGTGATCATTTGTGCATGTGTGTCTGTATTTTCTTATAGGTCAATTTTATGATCCAAGCACTTGTTTATATTTGAGGTGAAATACTTGTCGGTGTCACAAAGAAAATTGATCAATCAGGGCATTTTCAAATGATTCTGGAAAAATAACATAATGCTGTATGTTTTTTTTTGTCTCTTATATATCATTTATTGTTTAAAAAGATGTAAGGGATGAAATTGTTCCATCAACAGAAATAAAACTAAATGCTGTACACATCATGCTGTTGTCTGTCTAAATTAAACAGGCATGTATTTGTTCAAACATAATGTAATAAGTGATGGGCATGTTTTCAATCCATTTATCAGTCATCAAATGGAGAAAATAACAAAACAAACCCATGTGGTTGAAAGAGGACGTGACGTAAAGTGCGGACGGATGATAACTTCCCCGTTGGTCCACCGAATGCAGCCTGCGCCATCTTTCTTATTAGTCGCCGCTGTCGGGTAGCGGCAGCCTTCATGCTTTGCGAGGAGAGCTCTCCATGCAAAGCATTATGGGATATATCTGCCTCTTCTGAGGCCTTTCTTTTCTTCTCATCCACTTCGCAGACACTTTTTCTCTTACAACTTTCGGCCGTTTTCAGAGAACCGCAGTTAAAAATTGAGCTTCAGTGACTGTCTGAAACCATAGCTCACCACAGATATATGCCTGAAAGTGTGCGTGTAACAAAAAGATAGCTGAGGGGGTCAACACACTGGCCCTACTGGGTCAGTCTGGCCTGGTTACAGAGAAGGTAACGTTGCTGTGCAGCACAAAAAAGCATTTTTTTTCCCTAAAAGGATGTAAATACCACATTTGTATTTATATTACTTTTGAACATTTTTCCCTACTACTCTGCACTTATTTTTGGGAGGTGTGGAATAAAAATCATAACCTGAAGATGTTGACATGCCCTCCATAATTTTTTGCATCATTTTGGATTCAAGTTTACTGTGTCAAGGCCCAAAACAGGGGCTGTTAGCAAGAACCCACGACAGATGGCCTTACGTAAATATATAACTAGAATGATTGACAACTAGAAGGACCACTTATTTAGGTGATCCACCCAGAAATAAAAGATCTTCCTGTATACCTTTAATATTAGTATTGTCAGCCCCCCTCTGGGCTGCATCTTAGTCTTTACAGCAGAAAAAAACCCCAGCACATCCTACCTAGAGGTTAGAAAAACAATTCAATCAGATTCAATCAGACACTTTTAAAAATGAATGCGTTGATTGCAGCAAAAAAAGAAAAAGTTATAGCAAAGAATTATAGCAAAGGCAGGTTCAATAATAGATCACATGGTCTTAGCAGGCTGTTTTGTAGAAATGTTGGAGAAAACAGTCAAACCAATAAAGCAGAATTTCTGTTGACCTGTTTTAGGCACAATTTACATAGTTTCACCAACTGACTACTGGCTACATTTTACAAATCCTACTTTTTGAAGCATAATTATGTTTGGAGATGATCAAAGCTTTCCTCAAAGTTTTTTTTTCTTCTAAATGGCAAAAACAATGAGTATACTAAGTGTCTGGGCCCCACCAGAGCTCTAATCCATGTAGTTTTTTGACCTATTAATGCTGCTTTTTGATTGTTTTCTCAAGTTGAATTTTCCGAGTCAGAAAAAGAACAAGAATGCGCCTTGAAGTTGGAAATACGAGGGGAAAAGTCAGAGGTCTTCAAGCAGCCCCCAGCTCCATTTCCACTGTTGCTGCTACGCAAATGCAGGGGCCCTCTAAAGTCTGCACCCTGTTAAAGGGCAAGGTTTTTAGGATGCTGGAAATTCACATGATAAATCATATCCATTTCCAATACTTAGTCCTAAATTTGGCACATAAATTAGAAGTTACCTGCTTTCAATTATAAATAACAGCATTATTTAACAGTAACTTGTTGTGGTTGAGTTCCCCTGTAATATCCTACTTGTAAAAACTACAATCTCCTTGGATACACTTTTTACCGATGTATAGAAAAATGCCATAATTCTCCACTATCATATTGTAATTGCTTTATCATTGAAGCTGCAACATTACCACATACAGTTATGGTTTTCCAACAATGTAGTGTAATATCACAGATATACTGTAAGTATGTTTCACTGTCTATTGCTGTGATCCTGTGATGTTGAAAAATATAATTCCTTTTTAAGTTCCAGCTTCTAAAAGACATCTGGAGGTTTTGAGTCAAAATTGAGGGGTATGTGGAACTGTTCATAATTTCATTCTGTTTCTTAAAAAATAAAAACAGTTTAATCTGAAGAAAATCAAGTCCAAATCCCTTTTAAGCTGCTTTTAAAAGGTTTTGTTTCATAGGAGCATTAAACAGGCTCCCTCAAGCTAGAAAGGGGTTTTTCATAGAAATAAACCGCCTTTGACCAGAATTATTCCTCCTTTATCCAGACATACAGATGTTTTATATTATGGAAGATTTTGTACCGCTGTCTTGACTGAAAACTTTGCACAATTACATATTTTTTGATCCTTGGCAACATATTTAAAATTTCTCACCAGTCTAAGCAAAGCAAACTACTGAAGACTTTATCTTAAGGGGAAAGATTTTAAGGAAGAATATGGCTGGTATGGTCAATGATCTGACAGTGCTTGAAATATTAAATAGTTTTAGATCATAGCATATTTTCTTATTACAGTTATTTTCTCATTAATGGGTATTTTCTGCAGATGAGTGTTTTTCCTTAGTGTGCATTAGGAATGAGGTGGAAAACACAAAACGGTGATTGAAGGGAGTGCTGCAGTGTCACAATAACCCATCAGCACAAATTCCATGCAGACTACCTTAAAGAACATCATGACTCAGCGCCACAGCTTTTTATTCTTATAAAAAGGTTTTTTTTCAGCCTCCGATACAGTATGGTTCAGTTTCACAACAGAATGCAAGTGAGTCCTTCACTACTGTGCACAGAATCCTAGTAACCTTTGTCACATTGGTTTCAACCAAATTTTATTGGGATTTTTTTTTGTGACGGTCCAACACAAAGTGGTTTTCAATTGTAAAGTTAAAGGAAAATGATGCAATGTTTTTTTTTATGTTTAGAAGTTAAAAATCAACTAATTGTAGCATGATCTCATTTTCCTCACCACTTTTTTACGTCCCTTTTAAAACCCTCATGGAAAAGCTGAGTGGCTGACAGCTTTATGTGTATAAAGACATAAAGTGCATCAAATTTCTTCAACAGCAATGATCAGAATTTTGGAAGTGAATTTCAATACTGTTTAAACATCAATTTCACCCTTTAAGGTAACCTTATTCTCAAGCTAAGTTTTTTGCTCTTTTAAACTTTTTTTTTATAAATAAAGAGATTTAGCTACAGTTGCTATTAGGCTTTTTGACAATTATCAAAGGAATGTTTTGAGCATTTTTATTTAGCTTTTTAAAAGGAATTTAAATTGTCTTCACTGCACCTGCTAAAAAGATTATGCTGACGTGAAATTGTACCTGTAAGAGAGAAAGAAAAACACAGAAGTGTTAAAAAAGTCAAAGTATTGCAAGAAAAGGCGAAGTGAATTGTTTGTTTTACGATATTTAGCCATGTCATATCAACTCCTGTTTTAGTCTCAATAAATGAGTGACATAAAGTAACAGGACTGCAGTTCAATGGTAGCCCCAGCCAAAACATGCTGCCATTGTGTAATTGTTTACATTGAACTTTAGACTGTGCAGCGGAGGGAAGCTTGGACTGCTGCCCTTAATGTTAGACTGTAGTGTCAAACTGTCATGAAGCAATCACTAGTAAAAGGAGAGTTTGAATTTTCCCGGCAGTCTCTGTTAATAAACTCCTGAACCTTTTCGAAACCTTTTTAAACAGAAAAATTTAACAAAACGAGATCAATTCCAACCCAGGCTGTGGATGCACACAGCCATAGAGCTAAAAACTGTAGCTTCCTGATTAAATCATCTCAGAGCAGTATTTCCTGTAGTCTACATCGGTCTGCAGGAAGTCTGAGTGGACAGTTTCTGTGGCCTGACCAGCAGTATGTTAAACGGGGTTTACTCTGGCATGTCCCAACACCAAACAATAGATGAGTAACAGCAGCTGAGACACATTATCTGAAGCCAAATGAATCTTTTGTGCCTTATAATCAAAACTTACACAATATTAAAAAAAATCCAGTGTGTGTTTGCAACTGTGTGTCTGTTATCACTGTGGTTCATATTGAGAAATATGAGCTTGGGACTGAACAATGACCTCCCCACCATAAGATTCCCATAGCGTGCTAAAAGCTTGTACCACAGTTCCTCTTTACAGTATGTGTGTGACTAAAATCAATAAACAGTCCCCCTCCCTCTCGGTGTCTGCTCCTAAAGCCTGGCTTTCGTGCCGCCGTGCCCTCCTGTCCTCTCTCTCCATATCTCCCTGGCCTCAGTCACTGTTGGCCCGCACAGGAAACCTACACCCCCTCCCCGACAGGAAGCCACGTTGTCCCAGTGTGCTCGGAAGGCCAAAGTGATATCAATTGTGGAAGCAATGTTTACCTTTCGAGTTTTTATTTTAATCTCTTGTTCTCAGGCTGGTGGCCAGGGAGCTAATGCCCAAATTGCATGGGGCCAAAGTGCTGAGTGGCTTGGGCAGGGCCGGTCCTTTCACACGCAATGCCATGCTCCCAAGAAGCCCCCGGCCACAAAGAAGGAGGGGGTGTGTGGATTGTTGCTAGTACAGCATCAGAGATTCCAGGAATGGTTTCTAAACATCGGCCATTGATCTCTTTGAGAGAACTGAATGGGAGTTTGGAAACTGGCTGCCTTTTTGGATGATCTAAAGGGCCACTGAGGCAGAGGCAAATTCCACCAGACGGGCAAGAACCTGTGCTTTGGTCGGGCCGACAGCACGCCGTCCATAGAAAACGCGCTTTCATAACTTGGATACTGGCTTTGTGTATGAAGTAAAAAAACATTGCATGGCTGGAGTTTTTCTCCTACTTTAGACGATACATTCCTTCTAAATTCATTTTTTTACACATTCATGCTTTTGGCATAACAGCTGTTTTTATGAGTCAATAACATAACAGAGGGGCAATAAGGGGCATCCATCATTTTGGGAGCTACAATAGAGCAGTTAGTGCTGCCGCCTTGCAGTAAGTAGGCCCTGGGTGTGCATCCTGGCCTGGGGGCTTCAAGTAGCCATGTTTTCTCCATGCATGTGTTCTCTCCAATTACTGCTGTTTCCTTTTCAGTCTATAGAGATTAGCGTTAGATTATTAGATTCTTTAAATT